GCCATTTTAAAACGATTTAAACATTATGTAATATGAGGCACGTGTCGGCGGTTGGCTCGTTAGAATTGTAAATGACACAACCCTTTGACAATTGGATTCGTTTCGGAGATTGTTGAATGGGGCGCGTGGCGCAAGGGTCCCATAAACCCGACCATATCCGGCACCGAAAATAAACGTTAGATGCACTCACCTTAATTTAACATAACAAGAAAGACGACACCGCGCGTTTATCCTCCTCTGCTCGATATCAAAACCATAAGCGGCCAATGGAAAGCCGTTTTAAAATAAAATACCTCGCAGCTTTTCCACCCCTATCGGTGTGAAGGGTAGCAAGATTCGCATTGGTGCATATCTAATGTGGCGCGGCTGCGCGAGCTACAGCTTTCATATCAAATCTGAATATGCGTACATCAGAGAGAGTAACACGTAGAAAAACGGCCGATAAAGGAAAAATACACCGACGCTTCGTCGGGCATCGGCCAACTGAAGCGTCGCGACGCCTCGACTACGCCTCTTTCAATATTAAAGCACTCAATCGGATCATTATAAAGGACTAATGCAATTAATGAATTTTCAGATAAACTACCCCACCTTCAGATAGATCGTTTGTTCTACCAACAATCGAGTATAAAACTGAACTCAGTATTTTTTTAATAGTGATCCGATTTTTTAGATTCTATCGTGTATCTACAGGTATTAGGATTGCAAAACCTAAAATGAGTAAAAAAAATTATAGACGAAAAAGAGTTGAAAATACAAGAACGTTAAAATAAGAAAGTATCTAATATTTCAAACAGTTTTTACAAGAATTACATTATTTTATGTTTTGAGTGGTGTGATATGTATAGGTTACATTGTGATCGTAATTTTTATCTTCCGAACGTAAGCTTGAAAAGTACTGTAATAATACGGTCATTTATAAACGTTTCACAGCTTGAATAAAACAAAAATGTGGAACTTCCATTTCTGTGTACCTACTTGTCCTTGTATTTCTGTCTAACTGTCGGCTTTCGTCTGTCGGCAGTTTTATTAGACAGATATTCCTTGAAATTATTGGACTAATTTATGTGAAACTTTAGGTGTACTTAAAATTATTGAGTGGATAGTTAAATCCTAATCAAAATGTTTTTTTCACACCCACTAAAAATTTGATGACATCATACTAAATTTTGATAAGTAAATCTTGCCCGAAATGTAATATCGAGATATGTTCCTATAATTTTCAGTTTTTTTGAAATTCCAAAAAATATATCGCCCAATTGTATAGATTGTACAATAAACTATTTAGTTTAGGGGGTTTTCGAAAACTATCTTGCAAATAAGTATTTAAAATTTTGTGCAATTTGAGAGTAATAACAGGTTCGTCATATTTCCAAATTTTTACCTTGCCTATTTTATGAAATGTGCTTAAATATTTAGTTAATTTAAATGGAAATTTTAAGCACATGATTGGGGGGACAGCATATAAAATATTTTTCAGCAATAAGTACTAGTTGCAACGCCTCTACTACGCCTCTTTCAATATTAAAGCGTTCAATGGGATCGTTATAAACGGCTAATGCAATTACTGAAATTTCAGACAACCTATCCCACTTTCAGGTGGATTATCTGTTTTACCTGAAAACGGGGTTCGGCGGCGCTTTCATTACGCTAAAACGAAAAGCTGATTTTCTTTTATTCTAATGCCGTCGACTTTCATAAGCTTTATGGAATCTGTGGACCGAAAACAATCAAATGATATCATCATAAATCACGTATATTACTGACCTCTTGTGCCGATAACTTTTCCATTTTTAATTTAGCTAGGACGGGGTTGCGAATATAATGTTGGATAGAGGATTTAACGATTCGGAGTCGTTCGATTTTGGTCGTTTATCATTATCGTCTTTACATTAATATCTTTTCAATTGCTTTGTTATAATAAGTAGGATGGGGTGAACGTTTTACCCCCGCGTTATAAAATGTTCAATTACAGTCGTTTTTTAATCGATAGCAAAGTCTTCAGACTAAATTATACCTTTATTAATAACTCTGGAAAAGAGTGTACTTTGTAGTTGCTTCGACATAAAGGCATGTAAAGTATAGCGTATAATTATCTGTCTCTTAGTATCAAATTTAAAAAAAATTACTCTATAAACGACTGAAATTTTAATTATGCACTTAAAACTTTCCGCATAAAGGAGAGGTAAGTCCAATATCGACCACAAAGTACATTTTACAATATGATTACACTATTCAATAAAATTTAGAATGTTAAGGGGACAAGAATGCTACATAATTCCGTGTTTTGTCATTACAGATGCAAAACTGCCGCAGTAGTTGATAATATATACACTGTAATCATTTTATTGATTCATTAAGATTTTATATTCGATGTATGTAATTTAGAGGAATTTAAAATTCTATTCAGAATCTATTTATATAATTATTTAACAAAACTGGAGCTATTAAGTAAAAAGAGTTGTGCACTTTGCAACATTTATGAGTCTTTGTTATTAAATTCTGCTCTGAAGTTAACTACTAATATTTTCTTGCATAAATTGTAATAAATTGAGATACATTGTAAGAATAGAATCATAGCGCAATTGTACATATAAGTTGTTTCCTAATTAGCATAAAAGTCACAAATATTTGCATAGGCAAATGAGGTTATATTCTATCCACATTTTAAATATACCAGCACCTGTTGCATACTTGTAGCGCAATAAATATTCCTAAATGACAGTTCAGCTATCATCAGCTGACGCAAGCGCAAAAACAGGATCAAATGTCACATAAAACTGAGAAAAGGATTTAATTAATGTGTAAAAAAATATGCCAGAGTATGTTTACTTTTTAACTTGGTAAGTGCTTGACACTTAACAATTAACCTAACCTTCAAAACGAAATTTTGGGAACTTTGTCATGTGTAATTTCATGATAAACTGTGTTATTGGCCAATCTTTGAACGTAATGAATAGAAGTTATCCAACTGTCATATTTGCCGTCATTTTCTGGGAAGGGAAATTTAAATGGTTTGATTTTGTTTAGGTATAGGTATCAATAAATAAGTATTCAGTAAAAATATCTCACGATTAGGACTAGAATTATGTCAGCAAACTGGATACTGGATATTTACTGTATACTTGTTGTATGACCTATACAAATCCAATTTTGGAAATTTTTAAATTTGTTAAAACACAAAAGAAATTTATGGCGCTAAATCTTTAGCTAAATAAGGTAAAAAAAATGTGTAGGCGAATTATAGCGTCACTTTGTGTAAATGTTTCAATAATATTATATTATATATTATATTATGATTATTATTAGTCGCATAAAAATAACGTCAGTATTTATCATATTGCCTAAGTGCTCTAAGTTGTATAATTTTTAATTTGAATTAGAAATAAAAATGGACGAATTCATGTACCTATCTATTTTTTTTAATAAATAGGAAAATCATATAAAAAGCAGAAATTATCATCTAATTTGGTATTCAAATATTTATTAATCACTATATAAAACTGCATCATCAAAAAGTAAGAAAATGACAATTTTTGTGAAGGTAAAAACACTACCTACTCTAAAACTGATTAAGAATAAAAAAATAGTTGTATTAATTTTTTAATTATAACTTATAAGATATAAGTTACCTAATAAAGATATAAAATAAAAAAAATAATAATAATTTTTGGTGGTAGGTGTAATTAACGTCATTAATTAATGTTGTTCTATAATTACTGGCTGTCAATAAATGTTATTTTGAGTTAGTCGTGGAACCAAATTTCAGGCATAGGTACTCAATTACTCTTTACTTCATTTTGTTCACCGTTCGGCAAAGGTGTGAGGCAAACTCCCGGGGAGAGATTTACAACAGGGCAAAGGAGGTGGGGCAGTCACTTATTTATTGTGACCATAATCAGTTTTGTTAAGTTAGGTGTTATAATCTCTACGTAGGTAAATAAAATAAACCTGTAAACTCATTATGGAGCATTACCCGTGGCAAATCGTTGTCACCAACAATATTGTTGTGCTAATTTTTGGCACGTTTGTTGCAGTAAGAAATAATTATCTAAATTGCTTATGAATGGTTAAATTCTACACGTCCAAATGACGCGGTTTTGTATATAATATAGCTATTTAGATGTTATCTGTTAGGAGTTTCATTCTAATATTTTAAAGTGTTAATATGAACATTAGCATAAATCTTAAATATAATTTGCAAAAAATGGGCATGTAAATTTCGGCACCATTATAATATTTAAACAGCTCAAACAAATTATCTTGATTTTACTTGTACTATATACATTATAATCGTTGTGATAAGAATAAAAGATTAGCATAATCGTTTGGGTTTTTCGGCGGTGTTTCTTAATATTTTGAAAAGAATAGAATAATTTTGAAACAGGTACGTACAGAGTGTAATAAAAACAATTATAAACTTGCTAATTTTCGTCTGATTATTTAAATTTGGTTGTGTTGCTATTAATTACAATCGCAAATACACAATTCATCTTCATTAGCGGCCCATTAAAATAAATTATTTAATTGCATTTATTAATTTAATATGTAAATTATTCATATTAGTAAAAAGTCCGGGGTAAGAACAGTTGTGTCTGTTTTCGGGTAGGAGAAGAGGTTATCGTGCCGACTTGAAAAATAATCCGGAATGGTATTTTATTGATTTAGTGCGCCATTAAAATCAGCAGCTCGGAGAAAAAGGAGAAACAGTAATCCTTTTGCTCCTATACATATATTCACATAAATACATACATAAGATGTAGAATAAATAAATAATCCATACAATTTATATACTATTGTATATCGGAATATGGCGCGCGCTGATTGGCCGCGCGCCGGCCCCACCACCCGGAGGCCCGGATTCTGGCCCCCCTCCATCCGACTCAGCATCCTACCGATGCAAATACGCGTTGTTATACGGCCATAGACGGTAGCGCCGTCAGCACGGGAAAGACAACCTGTGCCCCTTTGAGTGCTCTGGCCCTTGATGACATCACCCCGCGTAGTGACAGTGACGACATATCGCAGTGCGGTGCACGATGAGCGGACCTGAGCAGTGACTCCAGTGACCGATGAAGGTATCGAATCTGGCGGATTTCAAAAGCGACACTGTGCGGAGGTGGGTCGAGTCGAACCCGTCACCCACCCCCAACAACATCGACACCCCCAAGCTCAAGAACAACAACAACAACACGATCGACTTCGGCCACACGTTCTGGAGGCAGAAGGAAGACATGCCGATGTTGCTCCACCAGCCGCCCTCGCACGTCCTCCTCTCCGCCCACGAGACCGACCAGCCCCTAGACTTCACCATGTCCAAGTTCAAGACGAAGACGGCGCCCACGGTCGCGTCCCAACTCAAATTCAACAACTTCGCGGCGCAGCAGCACATGATGCTGCTGCAGAACAACGGGGTGTATTTTAATAGAAACAATAATAAGAGCTTCACGCGTGGGAGTAGCCCGTCGAGTAGTTCGGAAGAGGAAGGAGTCGGACCGCCGACGGCGGAGTCCCCCAGGTCCTTGCCACCGAGTCCCGCGCCCGCCAGGAGCGACGGTAAGCGGAACTACTAGTTATAAACGTTTCGCATTCCGCTTTGTCATCCTCAGAGCTTTGGCATTGATGCAAAACTGTATAGATTTACCTGCCTGGGTTAGGGGGCATGTGACTGAACGTGTGAAGATGCAGATTGTTGTCTTATGACTCTCACACTAGAAATTCTTATAAGCGAACGTTTCGTCATTTGTTTTGACGTCTTCAAGTCCTAACAAAAACGATGTATGTACTAAAGCTGAAAGTCTACGTCAACGCTGAAATCTAATTAGCAGATTTTTCGCCTGATGAAAAGTCAAACTATAGAAGACTATTTTAGATATAAAGCCACTATAGCTGCACATTATAAACTATTCCGTTTCGAATATACCGAGCTACATATTAATCATTATTTAAAATAATAAAAATAATTTAAGCAAAAATTATATACCGAATGACTAAAAAAAAAGAGAACTGAAAAATAAGTGGTGCTTGAAGTATAAGTATGTATGTTGGTGTTCTACATAAAATAACAAAATAAACTTGGACAAATGTATATAACGGTGACAGCTGAAGGAAACGAACATTTTTCGATTAACATTGTGCTGGTGATATTACTCTGAAAATGTTCTAATAAGTTACAAGTATTTTGCAAATCCGTTTCAATACCCAGAAACAATTTTACTAGGTAGTTCTAATTTTTTTAATTATTTTTGGACGTTATATTATGTGTACATATATTTTGAAATATTGGAATATCAGCAAAACTATTTTAAATAACGAAACCAATAGACACTTCCAATTTAAATCCCGCTGAAATACACCATATATATATAAGTTAAATAAAATGTAGACTTCTTGGAGAATATTAAACCTAAATAATTAACAAATAAGATAAATTGCATAAATCAAAATACATGTTATTAGGAAAACCGATTATGAATAAAATAAAAACAAATTAAATTCGCAATGTAAATATATATGCATGTATATAACACCTTAATAAACGTCTACTTTCAAAAATTTAAATATTTATATCCAATATGTAGTAACAGTAATAATTTTAAATTGTGCCTACACTGGTTTCTTATTGCAAATAATCATACATTGTCTACATAAACATATAATTCTACTCTCCCTAACTGTGCAGTAACAATTAAGAATTTACATTTAACTTTTAACACAGGAGATATATCAATAATATTACAAAAATTTCTGTTGAAAATATACACATGTATATACATGGAAAAGATTATTGTCTTTACTGTTTCTTCATTCTTGAATTTATGTTTTCAAGAGTTTTATTGTTATTTATTTATATAAATTTGTTTAGTCGACTTTTTTTTTATTTTATAAATTTGGAGGTTTTCAGCAAAGAAAACAAAACAGAAATAAAATAAATGCTATATCGCAAAATTTACTAATAATAATTATTTAAATGCACTAGCGTCCAAAATATTTCCCAAGTTTTTTAATAAATTCACAAATTATTTTTAAGAAATAATTTCTAACATTATATTGTTGTCATAATCTGATTTTATGAGCGCAAAACTGAAATTTCAAAAATGCATGTTGCAAAAGGTTTAAAACATTCACATATAGGGTATTTCACGTCAAGCATCCTTTTCTTCCAAATTATAAAAATAAACCGAAATTTTGAACAACAACTGTATGTAATTTCGTAAAGATTGCTGTAGTATTATTAAATATAAGGGCTGTCACAAACACTGTGTTCAAATATCCTCTTCACGCACATTTTCTTAAATAAAAGTATGGTTTCTGCATTTTAAATTATGTCTAAAATGTGATATGCATAAAACCGTGAAGAAATACCTTCTGATATTCCCGAAAAAAAAAATGTTTCTACCATTGAGGAACGACTCAAACATTTTTGCACTCTACACCAGTACATACGAGGTTTAGTAGGTGCAAATTTTGGAATCAAAATTTTGTTATCACAGAGACATAAACAATTCAGGATTTAATATTACACACAGTATCAATCTTTTGAGAAGGTTAAAACAAATAAATATTGATATTACAACAAAAATTAGATTTTCTAGATATTAACGGTAACGATTTAAAGATATTTTCATTGATTCATTTTTTGTACCAACTGTAAATAGGTATACCAATTTGTCAAATTAGCGTGTATTACATATAAAAAAGTTAGGATGTGCTACGATGTGTCAGCCAGGTCAAGCAACCTTGGATCGGGCAGGTCGCGAAACTTTTGCGGAAGACTCTAACTCAAAATTATATCTAAAACGCTAAAATTTACTGATTGTATTTACATATTTAACACATGAAATTTTCGTATCGTATTTTTCGTTATTTCTTTTCTTAAATTAAACTCATTAAAAGCAGGCTGTTCAATTATCTCACATGTAATAAAATTTTGCATAAGTTTTAAATATTTTTTAAAAGTATCATAAATGATTTATCTCTATCGTTTTTTGTAAACACTATTTTTAGTGAGTAACAATTTTGTTTAAGAATTATGAAAAAAGTTTTTATGCTAAACTATACATTTAAACATCAACTACTAGTAGTACTCGTGCCATTTATGCGTAAATATTGTTTTTTTTTTAATCCAAAATACCGACGATAGGGGCTTAATTTTTTATTTCCAACAATTTTGGAATCTATAGCAGATTTTTTGAAGTTTACTTTAAGTGTTTCTTTTGGGAACATTTAATATTCAATAAATATGATCTTAATGATGTAATTCATAAGAAGCTGTCCTGAATCTTTGTAACAAAAACGATTTTAGATTATCAGACAAATAATTTTCGAGTTGACGAAATTTTAAAAAAACATTTTGAGTATCTTTTTTTTCATTTAAATGAAGTTTGTGTGAAAAAATGGATCCCATCACATTGATGGCACTGAAAACGAGCCTCATTTCCGAATGATATAATTGGTTAAATTAATGCAAAGAAATATTGGATACTTTTTCAAAAATTTGTCTTTATTCTACAATTACAAATTTAAACGTAAGTGTAGGAAAATATCATTAATTGAAGTTTGTAAAATACTATTTTCTTATGATAGTATAGATACACTGATTAGTTTATCTCAATAAATGCAGTAGAAGCACGAATGAATTAAAATACCTTCTGCAATGTCTGTAAGATTTTCCCACTCGTCGGTAACAGCCTAAACGTATCAAAAACACAGTATGATTCAATTACTTTTCTGTATAATGACCAGTAAGTACCGCGTGGACATACGATTAATAAATTAGTTTCTAGGTATTTGTATTTAAGTAGGTAGGTACTTATTTGTTCCTTGTAACGATATACTATAATTCAGTAAAAATTTCATCCTTATAGGAATGCAAATTTGATAGCATTTGTACGTGTATATTTCTAGTTATATCAAAAAATTAAACAACTACTTAGTTATATTTTATAAAAAAGATCACTTGTTGCTTATTTCATTTTAAATCACATTTATCACATTCACCCTGAACTGACCAAACATTTTTTTTTAATTGAAGCAGTTGTGTTGTGTTTATATTATTATATTTTCCTATATTTGTCTTCATTTTATTTTTCTATGATGTAAAAATTACTTGGTTTTTATTTTTTACTGTAATATTCATGATTGAATGTTGAAAGTTTTAGTGAAGTTTAGATAGAATCCGCATCTAGCATGGTCGAGTAAATTTGCGTTTGCTTTGCATTTCGATGGTATTTTGTAAAAAAACACGGCAATCGGTCGAAAATCGGGCTGACATATGTTCATTCTTTCGTTTTTTGACACCTGCTCGTCCTTCTCGCGCAGGTAGAATATGTTTGCAAAAGTGGGATCCTTCGGCACGTTTTACGTCCATTAGGCCATTGAAAACATGTCCTATTCATGCGGGCGCTCAATATTTAAATCCACAATCTCTAGGGAAGTTGTGCACATTTTTGTGCCGAAAACAATTTCGGTGGTCATAATTACAGTCATTTGTCGACTTTTGGCAATTGCTTTCGAAGAATATTTCGTCACATGTCTGAAACAATCGTAAATTCGACGAGAATTGTTAGGAAAACCGCAAATCGTCGGGATAAAATGCACCTGCGGGGATCGTTAATAATTAGTAACGGACAGGGAGCGGGAGGATTTGGCCCCTGCCATAGACAAAGAAAATTAACAGCGATAAAATATTCATCCCGGTTTGGCATACGAAAATAAGCGCGCTCTTTGTTTTCATGGGCATTTTTCCCATGCTAATGATTTTGCGGCAGGTAACTCCGCGATGTACCACTTTGAATGTCAGCGGTGTTTTGGTTTGAGTCGGCGAGTGTGTGAACGGAGAACGCCGAAAATTACTCGTGGTAAAGCCGGGACGACCAGTTACAGCTGAGTCATACACCCAAAGAAATGAATTATAATAATGAAATAAATTGGATGTATTAATGGTTCATTATTAGTTTTCAGTGAGTGATGATAATGGTCATTATTATCGGTCCATTATCGTATCGTGGAATTATTTGCATGTCTTCGGCCGGCCTCACACCGTCCAACACAAAACAACCATCTCCGGCGTTGGGCGTTTAGTGAATGATATGTAAACGTTCACGTAATTGATGTATTTAGCTGTAGGTATAGCTGATATTATAATGAATGTTGCCGTCAAATTAACGGCTAATGCACACGCTTTTGCATAAATTTACATGGGAAAAGCGACCAAAGATCGACGGGATAAACACTTCACAACTCGTCTTCTAAAATTGACACAATCATTTCACACGCATCGCTCGGTTTCTCATGTTCGTGCTTCACTTTTGCTCGCCGAATATCGAACAAGGAGCAGAGAGGATAAGCCGTAGCAAAATATAACATAAAATTTATTGAACATTAACGCTGGGTCATTATGCATTTACACTCTTCAATAAAAATTAATTTCTAACTAAATAAAAAATTAAGTAATAAAATCGTGCTATTATCAAACTGCATTAAAAATCAGAAATAGTTCTATTTGCACACAATCACCCATATTTCTATAAACGTAGAAATAAATACGAAATTGTCATTAATCTTGTTACACAATACGCATTTATGGTGTTGTTGACTCATAAACTCTCCTATACATTGCTCTAATGCTGTGCCGTAAGCACCTTTTATTGTTTTTACTTTTTTCTGGCTAAAATTCCTGCATTTTACGAATATTTGCAACTTGAGTTAGTAAAACAAAGCTTCGTAGACAAGAAATTAAAATGAAGTTTAATAATAATACGTAGTCAGTTATACGCCCCAGTATGTGTGAATAATAACATAGGTACAGATAACCATCATTATCCAACGTTTAGAAGTTTGTTAAATAAGATTAATTATATTCTTTATTCCAAATAAGTACACAACTTCATTAAAAGTGCAGCGAGAAATACGTATCTACAGATCTCACCACTTAATTACGAAATTTATAAAATTCAACTTAATTTGAATGATAGCATTAAATTATATAACTGTGTTCATATCACTCTTATATAATTTCGCAACCGTTGAAACGTTAACTCAAAATGTCACTTTAATTTTGTTGAAATCGATATTTTTTAAAATAATTAGGTATCCCATGTTCGTTTTGTCCAGACAACAGCCTATTTTTCAGTAGAAATACACAGGTTTAATGCATTGTTTGAAGGGTTGTCAAATTTTTCTGAAAACAATCTGTTTCAGTGAAATTGAAAGATATATGTATATATGTCAGTGGGTTTACACATTAATTTTTCTAAACACTGTGTTTACGTAAATTAAAAAATAAAATCATCTTGGAAGCAATGACACAATTGTGTCATATTTTTGAAGATGTATTCAACAATTTTTGAAGTGACGTCATCAGTTTTCCGGAGGATATGATTTAACAATATCTTAAAACATAACATATTTTGATTAGAATTTAACCAATTTTACCAAAATGTTAGAAAATAATAAAAACTGGCTCAACATCTAGGTTTAAATAACGGTTTTGCTACACAGCTGTACAGAACTGACCCAACTGTAAAATGTTATTAGTTTATTGCAGGGCAGACCGAAGGGAAATCACACGAAGAGCTTTTTATTATTATTATCAGTTTTAATAGTTTAATTATAATATGACCGAATCTGTTGTTGTAGTGTACAATTACAATTCGATAGTCTTTAGTTCAATAGGTTTGAAAATTAATCTGTTTTATAATAAATAATACAGACTAAACTTAATTAAGATTGTACCCCACGGACTGAAAAATGGTTCTCGATTTTTTGTTTTTTATTATTTCTACATACATACTTATGTTTTAACCATGTGAAATAAAGAATTTGTAAATATTAAGGTGCCAGTGAATTTTATTCACCGCCGTGAAAATTAAATATAGGTATACATTTTAGTAATACAAACACAATAAATTATAAGATATGCAAAAAATACATACACCGATGAAGTTTATGTGAGTATTTAGTTTTCATTAGAATTTTAAGAATAGCAACAATGATATAACTTTTTAATGTTTGTTATTAAAAGAGAATATCGTAAAGTATTTAATCTTTACAATACAAACAGAAAATTAAAAACTTCTTGGTTTGGAATTATTTCTGTAATTTTATGAATTAAAAAAGTTTTTATTCTATGCTTATTCAGTTAAGCATCCGTCTCTCAATTATTAACTTGGAATTATTTATTTGCATTCCACATTCTTCTAGCATCTTCACTTTGTAACACTAATATAATCATTGGATACTCGATAGTCCGTCGGATACGAATTAATTTTGTAAACAACAAACAGCTTATGCGAATCCAAAATTATACAAAATAAGTCTTATTGAAGTTATGAGAATATAATTTATCGTACTAAAAATATTTTTTGATGTCACTTGTTACATTTGAGAGTGACATAAACTTTTGTTGTGTTAAAAACTAACAAATACCATATAAACATGCCATTTATTCATATTTTTGTCAGCTGACATTTTAGAATCTTTCTATAGATATGTGGAACTTATCCACATAAATGTTTAAACTTCATATAAAATAATTAGCGGAATGTTTTTCTTATTGTCTCTCCTTAATCGTGGAAATAAGCGACACTCATTAAAATTATTCCCAACTGTCATTATCTCAATTTTAACGTTTGGGTTTGCCCATACGACATAGGAAATTTTTGTTAAAGAAAACGTCGTTGCGCACGGTAATTATTGTCAATTTTAATAACAGATAACAAGCACACATTATGCAAAAAAGGCGCATTTTTTTTATTTTGTGTTTAATTGTGAGCACGACGTGTGAACGACCATAAACTAATCTCCAAAGCTTTTAATGTATGTGTAACGTTGGTATTACATCGACATTATAGTAAATGAAAACTATAAATTATATACATATAGTAAGTCCTACCATATAATTAAAATAAAAAAATAAATAATATTTGCTAGTTTATTTGAAAGGTGTTGCCGCTTAAAATTTGATCCGAAGTAGTCGCGTGAGCTTGTTTTAATTAAAAGTTCGTAAACCTTTCTCTTTTGCATATTCTAAATAGAATATCACTCGGTAAAATTTATGAATAAAGGTCGTTTTGTATAAACTAATTGGTTAATAGCAATCCTCAACGCAAGCCAAAAAAAAAGTCTGTTTCAGCGGTTAGTTTCTTTGTTGTGTGTTGCATGATGCGAGGTTAAATATGATCAGAAAGAATCGCCCAACACGCATAAATCAAAGACGGTATGCAAAACATAAATATTTTAATTTGTGGGGAGGCGTAACGTGTGTGTTATAACACGTCTGAAAAGAAATATTGTTCAGGTTTGTAATGTGGCAAACAGAAACCGAAGAAGATTCAAATATAATTCTACTGTTGCCTAATTAGATTATAATTGGTGATACGCTACAAGAAATTACTTTCAAATTTTTCACGTGCTCTCTCTAAACGTCGTTTCCTTTTTCAGAAATCGCAAATTCTCCGGTGACACCGTCGGGGGACAAACAGTACGGTAAGCACTCCATCTATTCAAATACTCACTCCTAAAAAACACCATAAAACTTTCTAAATTTAGTACCGTTAGAAAAATCGCAGAATTTCAAAGGGCTCGCCGAAAATTTGCGATCGTTTATTACGAGCAATAAATCTCAATTCGCTTTCCCTATTTGTAAAGCCGTAAGTTTTTTACCCTTGTGACTAAATATTCAGCTTCTAAAAATGTCATAACCTTGGGGGGTAGGTAGTTTATTGAAAGGGATCGAGTGTTCAAGAAACCCCGATGTCTTTCCAGGGGCTGCAACAGGTTTAAATGTTCTTTTCATAACACATATACATATCCGCGGGGAGAAATCCCTCAAATCGTCTTAAGGGATTCACAACAACCTCGATCTCGTCGAATCTGCCATCACGTTTTAATTTCGGCTCTGAATATTCATGCCTGTTTAAAAGCTTTTATATTTAAATTTAAAATGATTTATTAGAAGAGCCAATTTGCATAATCAAAATTAAGTATTTAACTAGTTAATTTGGAAACTTCCTCGCTGGAGCGGCTCGGGTCAGGGGAAGTGCGTGTAATTTGAAATTAACATAGAAAAGCAAATAAGTGAAGTGGTTTAACACCATAAGATTTTTAATTTAGACGTAACGTTGTTTCTTCATTTGACTAATATAGAAGTTTTTCCCTCACAGAACCACATTCAAGTTACCCCTGAAAAAATTTTTCTTTTCTCTATATTGGTTAATGTAGGAACGGCAAAAAAACAACAAAAACTTTTTTAACGTGTTTATAATGATCATCAGTATTAAATATTAAACTTAAAGTTGTTCATATTTCGTATTTTATTATTATAGTGTAACTTTGATTATATTTCATTGCAATTACATATTCTTTAAAGCAGATCAATTAGATCTGATCAGTGCTTACGTTGTAACCTGTATTAGATCCGTCAATTTTCTTCGAATTTCATGTCCACATCGGTCTTTCTATGTCTGAGTCCTCTATTTTTATACATGTTCCATAAACAACCATTTTGTCTTTTCACTGCAAAAAGGCCATATAAAAAATACCGCGCTCTTTTGAAAAACTAGACTATTGTGTTGATAATAAAATTTTCTTGTAACCTTTTTTTATCCTTTTGACAAAGAAAAAACTATTAGGATAAAACCTAATAAATCAGTCAGGGCCAGAACTAGAAGGGAAATAAAGTGGGTAAAGTGTGCTCTAAAATTTATTGTCTACTCTGAAAATTATTTGCAATGAACATCAAGTAACAAAAATAACAAGAAAGTGATCAACGAAATACTGTAATACTTAAAGTATAAAATCGATTATCCTGTCAAAAATTTTGTTTGTTTTGGCCAACTTTTAACTTTAAAAGAAAAATTAGCATGTTCAAACCCAAAAAAAAAACTATTTTAATAAGAATGGAGACATTAAAAGTGACGATAAAACATTAAACCAGATTTAGAAGACAAGATTTACCAAATACAACTCTTTGTAAACACATTATCAACTTTTAATAAACGTAAACAAAGTAATAGTTTCAATTTAATGACAATTTTATAGAATCAGAACTAAAAAAAACTATTTTCCTGTTCCAGAGAAAATCGATCAAATGCAATCTACTTCATTTATTTTTTAAGAGCTTTATTGATAGATAAACAATATGTAAATATGATTACATACAATTTTGTTAAAGTTCTGTTTAAAATTTTATTGATATAATACTATTTATTAAGTATATTTATTTTATTTGTTCATTACCTGACTTGTTTTGACAGATACTGTACTTGTTTGAGCTACTGTTTTATTTAAATATATTCACATTTCTATGCAATTTTAGTGATTTTGTTTTTCTTTTTTGACGAGTGCATACATTATAATAGTATTTCTTACGCACAATAAACGTTTTTATTATTGTTGTTAATATTCAAGTTTCTTAACATTTTTTTAAGATAACCCGTATTTGTTAAAACTAATATAGAACTAAATTAATCAACCACGGGTAAAGGATAACATTTATTTAATTTTTTAAACAATGACACCACTAACTTTCTGGAGGAGAAGAATGTTAATCCGTTTATGTAGGTTTTATAACAAATTGCAAAATTTCATTAAACCAATTTTATTCTTTTTTATAAAAAGTTGCTTACGCAATGTTAAAATAATATATAAATGTGCAACCAAACTAGAATGTAGACTTGAAATGAGATTTACTTAACCAAATTTTGAGATCGCTGAAGTACCTAATTATTTGACGAAAGTACGTAGGCCAATTTTGGTTCTGATTTTACTGTCAACGTGATAATATGAAAGTAATTTGTGTAATCGGTTCCGTAAAGAGAGACTACAGACAGACAGACAGACAAAAGGGGAGATCAACGTTTTCATTTTCTACAAATTATAAAACCTAATTGTCAAAATGACCTTTTCCCAATATTTCTGTTAGATTATGCTTACGTAAATTTTTAAGTGTAAAAAATTTCTAAACGGAATTCAAATAATTCTAAAATTTTGTTAAAATAACCAGTGTATTTCCCTTTATTTTTTACTGAAGAATATGAATAAGTAAAAATACAAGGGATTTCATTTTAACTGATTCATTGGAACCACCTGCACCTATTTCCAAGACAGCAGTTACACCAGGGCCGGCTCAACACGGTAAGCGAAAGATGCGCCGCATCGGGGCGCCCGCGACAAGGGGCGCCGGGCGGTGGGCGCCGCCTATGCTTTTATATTAACTCTTTAAAAATAAATTAAAATTAGATTTGCATTGAATCATTACGTACAAAATATTATAGCAGGAACAGCCCAAGGCGCCTATCGAAAACTTTTCAGAAAAAGCTACATTTTAGGAGTCCACTATAGGGAGTGGTTCACGTAATAAGAAGTCAATTCCTGGCACTTTCTGACTGAAATAATTGAAAAAGAGTCCGCCTTTGGGTTGGGTCATTGGACCTTTAGATCAATACCGACAAAAAATACCAGATTTATGATTGCATTACCTGGGTAACAATTTGACGAGACAGCGGTATGACCAAAAGCAGATGTTTTTCCTAACATTTGTCACGTTTGTTTTTACCATAAAACTCCATGTCTCCTCCGTGATGTCGACATATACTTAAAAAATGTATTTTCCAAGTCTAGTCGGTTGGTTGTGGTGGTTGTTCGACAGTTTTGTTATATCTGTTTTTCACTGTTTGTTCCTCTTTCTAGCTGAATTTGGTTCTGTGTATCATTCGGTCTTTGTCATCATTAATTTTAAATTTAAATTTCGAATAACATTGAGGTAAGTTTAAATTAAAAATAACTTTGAAATGGTATCAATTTTACAATATTAAAAATTGAAAAATTTTTGTAATATAAATATTTTTCATCCCGTTCACTCCCCCTTCCCCAGTGAATCAGTCTAACTTAAAACCCCACGGGATTCCTACACAAATGTTCATCCCATATTTTGTCCCGGTAGAGGCGGAATTTCCAAAAAACCTTTCTTGATGGATGCTTATGACACAAAAGGAACCTACTGTCCAAATTTCATGTTTGTAGCTTCAGTAGTTTAGGCTTTGCGTTGATGAATCAGTCAGTCTGTCAGTCAGGACAAACACTTTGCTATATATATATTAAGATTGATTCATCATAATTTTATGTATGTTTGTTAATAAAAAGTATCTCTCTATAAAAATATGTGATTACAAAATTTTATTGTTTTTTTTTTACAAAAATTTTTTAGAGGGCGTTGAACAGTAACTTGCATCGGGGCGCCTGGTCCCTTAGAGCCGGCCCTGAGTTACACTATATTATACAAATCACGAAAAATGTTCACTATTTCTCAATAATTTGAACTAGAACTTGAGGTTTTACCAAAATACAATCTTTCTTTTTTTAACGAAACTGTTCGATTTTGTACTGTAAAAATTAAAGTAATAATCCGACAAATCCCCCTTCATTATAAAATTTAATTTTGCGATTTTCGTTTCGTGGTAACCTTTATAAAGTAAAAACCAGTAACGTAATTAAGACCTACGCCGCGGGAGCAGAAATTCCGAGGTGGCACAAATATATTTCAAGCAGATATCGAGCTGGAAAAATTTAGATATTCTCAATTTCTCAGTATATGCTTACCTTCGACTATGTTTATCCCTCGAAAGAGTTCAAAAATTAACAGAAGAAAATGAAATTTGATCGTTTTTTTCCTCAACACAGAACAGGACTGATTAATTAGTTGACCACAGTCAATTGTTTTCATAAAAACACTCATAAAACATTTATTTATTCGGTAAAACTGTAAAATGAGGGACAAATTTTGATTAACGATTTACCATGCTTCGAATAACCTTAAAATATTTGCAAGATTTCACAGCATTTGGTTTTTGCAGTTTCAAAGTTAAATTGTAAAATATTGTTATAGTTTTGGAAATTTCATTGTACCCTATAAAATTTTATTGACAATAACGAGACGGACAGTAGTAAGAAATATTTATGGCTCACACCAGTGCATCCGAATTTGTCGGAGAACATTTAGCAGGTAGTTGTACTCATAAAATAATGGTCATTTTCGTTCATGAGTAACGATGGTCCCTGCCCGTACCTGGTTTTTCTGCTTTAAAACATCCGGGGATTACCGGCACGTGACAACTTTAAGTTGTCTATAAATATCTCTTGTTATTGTACTGCTGTTCGCCTCGTTATTGCCAATAAAATTTTACAGGGCAGAAAGAAATTTCCAAAACTATATGAATGTTGATTTTTTTCCCAAAAATCTGGATACTAAGGCTAAAAACTCAACATGGATTCATAAATATATGTAACAAAAGCAGAATCATGTTATTTGCCAAAATAAAAAAAAACATTTAGTCCGCAGAATTGTAAAATGACGTCAAAATTTTTGCGGAGACCATCAACGAAGAAAATTTCGATTAACGATTTATCATGGCTCCTATAACCTTAAAAGTGTACAAGATTTCAGAGCATTCGGTTTTGCAATTTTAATGTTTTAAATAGTAAAATAA